CTCTGGTCTTCTGTACAGGGTCACTTCCTGTGCCAAGGAGTGAGGGGGACAGGCAGGGTCACAATTGGAAAAAGTCTAGATCAATTCCAGAAATCAGACAGATCAAGGAATCTGTCAGAATCACAGTGGACAATTTGCTAGTGTTCAGGGAGGGCCCAAGCAGTGTGGGAGGGGTGTGTGTGTGTGTGTGTGTGTGTGTGTATGCACAAATTCAACCCTGTCCAGCAAGCAGATAATAACAAGACAGAGTGGGGTGTCAGTATGTATGTATGTGCATGGGTACATATTTGTGTGTGTTGGTGGTGGGTACCTAGACAGACTATGGGTGGCCGCAGAGATGAAGCTGGAGACTCAGGATGATATTAGCATGAGGAGAGTCTATGAGAGAAAATCTTAAGAAACAACCCCAGTCAGCTCTAGAGGGCCTAAGAGAGTTGAGCCTGAGATTGGAAAAGGAGCCTGGTGTGGAGGGCAGCAGTGAACTAAGGATGGCACAGGCCCACCTGCAGAGCTGTTGGGTGCTTGACAGGTCTGAACATCTGTGCCTCACACAGTTCCTTTGAGTAAGAAACCACAGGGGTGATTTCCAGTCCTCACCGTGAGAAGGTGATAGAAAGGGCAGATGCAGGCAGAAGGCCTTACCCCAGCTCTGCCAGCCCTAGAGTCTGACAGCTTATGTCCATGGCCTGGCTGTGCCCTCAAGATCTGGGTGCCTGAAGGTACATCATTCCCCCATGGTCAACATTCCAACTGCAAACTTGTATAGAAGAAAAATGTCAGATGATGCCAGATTGTGAAAGGGTGACCCATTCACCGGCCACCGCAGGGCTTAGCACCTCAGTACTGTTGCTGATGTTGTTACATTAGACAAGCAAAACCACCAGCTGTTTTCAAGGAAAATAGAGATTACCAGCACCTGCAGGCCAGGTCTGCTTTGATAAATTCTGTTAAGGAACCCAACCACCAACACCACCAATGCTGGGCATAGTGCCAGGCTCTTGTGCATTCATTCATCACCTGATCTTTGTGGAGCAACTGGTATTTTATCCCCATAGACAGACGAGAAGAGTGCGGCTCTATATACTCCCTAGAACCAATTTGTGTTGGAAAAGGGTTCAAACTCAGGTCTGACTTCAGCACTTAGTGTTCTACAGTCTGCTCTGCCTCGAGCTTGCCAGGAAAAGGAGGGCACACCATTAATTTCTGGACACATTTCCTCTTTGGGGACAGGAACTGATAAAATGAGAAAAGGCAAAGGCCATTTAAAGGTACTTTCCAAAAAAAGAAACATAATACCTTAGGGAGATTCCAAAACACGACCAGCTTCACTGGTAATTACAAAGACACATTTAGAAATGAATTTACTTATTGTTGGCAACCAGGATTGGCCAACACAAAGACATCACTGTGAGTGAGAAAGTGGGGAGTAAGAATTCTCATTGGCAAATGTTGTCAGAAATTTACGTGCATATTGGAGGGTGAATCTTCAGCTGTGACTGACATTTCAAATGTACATATTCATTGTCTCAGAAATTAAATTTGGGGATATGTGTGTGGATTTATCCTAAATGTACACAAACTTAAACATGTAAAATTCTACTTTACAAGAGTTGCCATAGCAGCACTGAGTCTGGTTTAAAAAAAATTCAAGTAACGATTGTACACAACCTAAGTGTCCATTTGTGGAGGAATTAGCTAAATCAAACAGCCAATTTATTCATATATTCACAACAGCCATACTCTGAGATGAATGAGTTAGCCTGCATAAGGTGATCAGGCATAATTTTTAAGATACAGCCTTATGAAAAATGACAAAATGAAGTAGAAAATATAAAATATGCTTCACTATGTAAAATAAAAAGTAATCATGTATACCTATAAACTTCTGGAGGAATTCTTATATATCAATAAAGTTACTGTTCTGGAGGTATAAAGTTGTCTTTCTTTAACTCATTGTTCTTTGTTCAAATTCATTTGTTTGTTTTATTTTTAGTCCATTGGGGTCACTCAGGTTCAGGAAGGTGTTTTGGTTGGGGCATCAGAAGGGCAATTAGAGTGTATATACCTGTCAACCAAAGACACAAATGGACTGACTTGCCCAAACTCTTCCTGCCTGTGAGGGCCCTCCCCCCACTCATTGTAGATGAGGAAAAGTGCTCCCATTGCCAACTCAGAATGTCCCTTACCCCACCTCCCTATTTCCCAGGGTGCACCGCAATACTCAGAAATAGCAGCCCAACCACAGACAGGCACCCTTGAAAAAGTCTAGCTGCTGCCTATGCCAATGCCTTGTGATTCTCAACACCACTGATATCTGGAGGAGTTAAGCAATGGCTGAGATAGAATTTCATCTGGGACTTAATGCAATCCTTTCTGCTTCTGCCAGAGACAATTCTATCTAAAGCTGCCAAACCTGGCCATCTCCTTTCTCACTGAGCTTTGACCCCTTCCATCCAAGGGCAAGGCCCCGATGGATTTCCGTGCATGACTCATTCAAAATAACTGTGGTTTGCAGGCTTATAAGAGTAGGCTGAGTCTAGCTGGGTAAGGCAGGCCTGGCAAAGAGAACCTCGGCTCCTCTAACCTCTGGTTCTGAGGAGCAACCACGTAAACTGAGACAGGATACAGACACATCCTGCCTACATTAGCAGCAAGAAAGAGGGTGCACAGCTTTTTCACAGACGAGATGCCGCCATAAGTCAATTCCTCAGGGGTAATCTGGTGTGAGATGCAAGTAAGGGCTTTGTCCCCACCAGTTCTGGAAGGGAGGTGTCACAGTCATTGATCAAGGTCTGAAATTGAAATGTAGAACTGCAGGGGGTAGGGTAGGGACAAGACTCTGGGGTGGGTAGAAGCGTTTCTCTGGATAGGAGAGTGGCTTCAGGCTTGCATAAACTCAGATGACAGCAATGGCTCTGTCCCTGCAACCCTGGCATACTCTCCCCCTGACACACACACGCACACAAACACATGTGCACACACAGCATGCATGCGTGCATATGTGTACACACTCAATAAGGTCTATGAGCTTACAGAATCATGGTCTCAAGTCACTGTCACTGGCACTGTCCTCCCGTTGTTCATTGATTTGCTCGAGCGGGCCCAGTAAGTCTCCATCGTGAGACTTGTTGTTACCGTGTTTTGGCATATTGAATACATCATGGGTAGCTTGCCAGGCTTTGCCGTGCGGGCGAGATACTCTCAGTAGCTTGCTGGGCTCTCCAAGAGGGGCAGAGGAATTGAACCCAGCTTGGCCGGACTGGCTACGCGTGAGGCAAGCCCCCTACCACTGTGCTATCGCTCCAGCCCATGGTCTCATATAACTGAGTATAAAGATGCCTTACCTTTGTTTTGTTTAGTTTTGGAGACTATACCTGGCTGTGCTTGGGGCTTATTCCTGGCTCTGGGCTCAGCGATTACTTCTGGTGGTGCAAAGAGAATCATATAGGGTCCAATTGAATCTGGGTTGGCAGTGTACAAGGCTCAGGTGATAGCACCCTATAAGCTGTTCCATTGCTCCAGTCATCTGACATTTAAAAAATACTTTGTATGTGCTTGTCTCTGTGCTGGGCCATTTTTATTTGCTCAATTTTTATGTGCTCCGTTTTTACAACCCAAGCAGGAACATCCTGTTATTCCCATTTTGTAGATGATGAAACTGGAGCTAAGAGATGTTGGCTTGCCTCTGGCACTTGGCTAATAGTGGGCCATAAGATCCCCAAACAAGCAGGGAAGCCCTCACTCCCCTATGTCCTGTCTCTGCACGTTCAGGGCACATGAACTTTGCACACTCAGAGCCCATTACATAGGAATAAAGACCCACAGTCAGGTTTGCCAGGTGAGGCTCACAACTACCTGAATTTCAGACCCCCAAATGTGAAATGTGTTGGTGTCTTCATAGTCAACAAAATTATCATATTAATTGCTTAACTTGATTACATTCTAGACTCAGGCTTTCTTCTCCCCTGGGTGACAGTTTGTAACGAAGTTGCTGTGTAGGGTGGGAATATATATAGCACTGTGGTACTGTCCTCCTGTTGTTCATTGATTTGCTTGAGAGGGCACCAGTAATGTGTCCATTATGAGACTTGTTGTTCCTGTTTTTGGCATATCGAATATATATATATATATATATTTTCTTTACAAAACTAATTCTTTTTGCTACAGAACATGGTAGGGGAAGAACAGAGGGAGGCCCAATCATGTTTTGAAACATGCTCACAAAGAATCTCATGGTATGTGATTTCCTGCCAGCCAGAAAACATGTGCTAGTTTTTAAAAAGAAAGCCATGAGGAGTAACAAAACACTAAAAGGGTCAGGGTGCACAGATCCCCCTGAGACCTGCCTAGACTCGGTCCTGGGGGCCCTGGGATCTGCGACGGGGAGGAGGGTGGGGGGGCGAGGGGGAGGGGGAAAAGTTACTGTTACAGTTAGCCCTGAGCCCCAGCCGGGCTGCCCAGAAAGCAACTTGTTGCGCGCCTTTCTTCTCTCCGGCCCGCTGGAGCCGTCTCGCCTGGAAGACTGAGCCTTCATTCCTGATTCTTTCAGCCTGAAAACTTTCTTGCCCCAGTTGCTTCCAGCCTCCCCAGCCACACCACACAAAGAAACAGAAAGCGAGCGAACCGGCGGCTGGGCGAGCTGGTCCGCGGCCCTGTCCTGGCCGGCCGGCCGGGGTGAAGGCGCGCACAGGGTCCGGGCGGAGCGATCCGGGGGTGGGGGGTGGGTGGGGGGCGTACCTAGGACCTGGAGCCCAGAGATACAGACACCCAGAGACCCAAAGACCCCGGAGACACCGAGGTCCAGGGACCCAGCGACGGGGCGGGCGTCCTGGTTCTGAGCCCAGCGCCCATCTGGTCCAGCCAAGTCCGGACACCGTCCCGAGAGTGACCCGGACCGCCCGGGCTCGGCCTTGCCGCCCCTGTGTCCCGGCTGGGGTCCGCCTGGCCTGGGGCTCCCCGACCCCCGGGCGCGCGCGCCGCCGCTCCCCGGGGACACTCACCTCGTCCGGGCGGCGGTGGGGTGCCGCTGGAACCGCTCATCGCAGACGGTGCCGGGCGCCGGCCCGGGAGGACGCCAGGGGGGCTCCCTCGGAGTGGCAAGGGTCGCGCGGGCCCTCCCGACGCTCTGCAGCGGGAGGAAGCGGCACCTGTGTCACTCGGGTCTGGCGGGGCCGAGGGGAGGGACTCGACCGAGATAGGCAGACTTCATTTATGTTTTTCTGCAGCCCGGGCTGGTCTGGTGGGGTTTCCACCCCTCCTTTTTTTTTTTTTTTTAACACACATACCCGCCCACTTCTGAACTCTTCTTTGCTCCAACTTCGCTGCGCAAGAATCACTTTTTTTTTTTTTTGCCCCCGCCTGCTCTGTTCTGTTTCCATCTGCAAATAGCAGATACAGAGACCGTGGTTGAGAATGTCCCCCTGTGTTTGAAAAACACTCAAATGTGGAAAGCTGGCCCCAGCAATGTCAGGGACGTGACCATAATCGCATTGGGACAGACAAGTCTTTGAACCTTGCTGGCTGCTCTACTGCTCCGTGGCTAGGGGAAAAACTCCAGCCTTGCTGGCCCCTCAGGGACCCCAGGTCTCCATGCCTGGGCTAACATTTGGGAATGATTCTTAGAAAAAAAGAATTTGGGGAGCAAAAAGGGGAGTACTGAATATAAGGTTCTTGCCTTGCTAGCGGCTAACCTGCATTTGAAGCCCAGCACCCTATACAGTCCTCAGACAACTGCCCAGAGTGATCCCTGAGCACCGAGTAAGGAGCAAACCCTGAGCACCAATGGGTGTGGCCCACAAACAAGCAAACAATAACAACAAAACAACACCAAAGTAAAGTAAAAGAAAAAAAAGAACAACAACAAAAAAGAATTTCTGGGCAAAAGTCTTGAATGTATTGGATCCCCTTTTGTGAGGCTACCAAAGTGGAGTTTGCAAGTGTACACTTCAATCAATTAAAACAGGACATATATTTTGGCAGTTTGGTTAGTTAAATATATTCCACCCACAAAGCCCACAAAGAGTGCTATGTTATACGTAGCATTATTATACTCCTCCTCTGCTCCATTCCATTCCAATCCTTGGAGAAAGACAGAGGTTGGAGAGTGTCACCCTTGTTTCAAATCCCAGCAAGTCTGCTCCATCCTGTAGGACTTGCATGGTGTTCTACTCAACAGTCCAGGGGTGTAGAACTGTAACTCCTCCCACCTATTTATCCTCCTGGGGGGGGGGGAGGGCAGGGAGAGGAAGAGGGTATGTGAGGGAGGACCAGGTTCCAATTGTCTGTATCATAAATATCATTTACAGTGCAAATATTATTTACGGATCTCAGTGCAAGGCTGCCCCCTAGAGGTGTGCAATACAAACTTTCTGCTCTGCTCTACCCAGGCTGGACAAACTTGTAGCATCCTGATTAGGAGTGTTTGCTTGCTACATCTGGGACAAGCTCATAACTTTAAAAATATTTTAGTAATGAGGAACCTGTCATTAACTTAACAGATCTTTATTTAAATTTCCTACCTGACATAAACACATGTTGAATTGAAATGAACTAGTCACAGAGTGCCTTTGGCCAGGTGTAGAAACTTTTAAGCCTTGGTTTCCTTATCTACAAAATAGAGACAGAAAACTCACATTCCAGAGCTTAGAGACGTAAGTCTATAAAACAACACTGATAGAGAAAAGAAGCTAACAATGACTTTAGTAGAAACTAACTATGTAAGAGGTCAACTTTTTTTGTTTTTTAATGCATATTGGTGAGTGATACCTACAAGATGGTCAGACTTCTTCGTCAAGACCCTGAATGATCGGTTTGAGGCTCTGCATGTTCCTAGAACGAACAGATACCATTGGGCTATGCTAGCACGCAACCGGGATGAATGGAGACGTTATTGGCACCCGCTCGAGTAAATCGATGAATAACGGGGATTAAGTGATTAAGTGATTGGTGAGTGATAGGGACAATCCCTTGTGTTTGGAGCCTAAAAAGCATCTTTAAATATCTGACCTGCAACTGGGGTGCTGGGAAAAAAAACTGAAGGAAATTCTTTTTCCCCAGATAATCAATCATTGTACCTCATTAATGGGAAGTTTCTCAAAAGCTCACTTATAGCTGACTAGTCTTTATACATATTCAGAAGAAGTTAATTGATTTAACTTTTTTGATTAGGACAAGTCAAAAGTACCAAAGTTTAAGAATTCGTTATGGAAAGGATGACTAACTAATTTTCTATCTAAACTGTACAGGTGAATTTTTCTATAAACTAGCAAAGTCATATGTAAGAAGAAATTGACATTGACTATACAATTAAAGTATTTGGCCCCAGCCAGGCAGATGTGACTGGTTCATGCCATCTCAAGTAACTGAAGATTTTGGTCTCCATCTGGATTTTTGACTTTACAGTTTTCTAGACCTGGGTAACCTTTAGCTTTGACCTAACACTTCTGTGTTTCAATTTTCTGATTTATGAAATTGAGACAAACTTCAAAGGTAGGTTGTGAGTAATACATTAGACTATCAATCATTAATGGTATAATTGCTATTCTTAGTCTACACATAGAAGTTACTTAATGATATGGTTTTCATGTACCTCATAAAAACAGTTGATTTATAGTATGGATCTCATACTTTTCTTTTCTCCAAAGAAGGTAAATAGTGCTTAATAGTGAGTAGTGGTTTGGTAAGCTGAGAATGATTTATATGTTTCAGAGTTAATCAAGGAAGTTTCAATTTTAAAGGAGCGGCCTAGTTTTAGAAGTAAAATAAGTATATAAAAATAGATTATATGTTAGAAGTTGACATTAAAGCACATAAATGTGTTATTACGGTCTCTTCCTGCACTTAATACTTAGTAATAGAGTAAAAAGTTGAAGAGGGTACAGAAATTACATAAAGCAAGGAAGGAATTATCATCAGTTTATATAGAAACATTGTAGAGTATTTACAGTCCGACAAAGAAGCCTGCTAAATCATACCAAATCACACATAATGCATAACATCATACTCTTATATAGCATAAACAGGAATTCCACATGAATCACCTGACTTGAGTAAGTAGTTCCTGGAAGGAACATTGCAAGTTTGCTGTCAAGGCTATGGGTACACAGATTCTGGAATGGCTACCTTGTGTAAAACAAAGGTGAACTCTATTTTTGCTCTTTGTTGATCACTTGATTATTTGACATCCCATTGCTCATCGATATACTCGAGTGGGCACCAGTAACGTTTCCATTTGTCCCTGTCACGTGCTAGTGTAGCACAATGGTGTCTGGTCGCTCCAGGAACACGAAGAGCCTCAAACTGATCATTCAGGGTCTTTATGAAGAAATCTGACCATCTCATAGGTGGGTGGCCATGCCGTCTTTTGACGTTCCATGGAATCCAGTCGGTAAAGACTCTAGTCCGGCGGTCATCTTTAAATCGCATTATGTGTCCAGCCCATCTGATTTTCAACGCCTTGGCAAACGAGACAGCATCCCTGATTCTTGATCGCCGATGGAGGTCGGAACTCCGGATTCTTTTTCTCACTTGAGTGAAGCGTGATACTCCAAGCATAGCTCTTTTGATTCCTCTTTGGGAGACCCGAATAGTGTTCTCATCCTGTTTTTGTAGGGCCCAGGTCTCTGAGGCGGACGTTAATGCAGGAAGAACAGTCGAATCAAAGAGTTGTGCCTGGAGCCAGCGGTTCTTCGTCCTCTTAGCTATTTCTTTGAATGTGTTTCAAGCCACTCTCCTCCCGAGCAACTCAGGTGCCAGGTCATTCGTCATGTTGACTTCTCAACCTAGGTAGACATAACTGTTGCATTCAGAGATGGTCGTTCCGTTGAGAGCAAATGGAATGTCAGGAACGAGACTGTTTCTCATAAACATTGTCTTCGTGAGATTCAGCTGTAGTTTGACCTTTCCACACTCAGAGTCAAAGTGAGTACCTCCACTACCCAGCTGTCGCCATGCTCCAGGCCACTTTCCAGAAGCTCGGGCTGAGACTCACGCACGTGTGAAGATCCACAGAACCTGGTAAGTGGAGCTCTGCGACCTTGGACTCCAGTCTCAACGGGACCTGGGAACAGAGATCCTCTGCCTGCTTTCACCAATCTCCAGGGACCCAGGGATTACACCCAGAAGCACCACCCTATCGGTGGGGCTCATCAGCAGACCTACACTACCTCCACAACCTCCACTACCCAGCCACTGCCATGCTCCAGGCCGCTTTCCCAATACATCATAAGACACTTAATACCCATCTTCCAAGATTACCGCACCATATTTGATGGGGTTCAAATATGGTTTGAACCATGGGAACACCTACAAGGGCGATTAGAGGCCACCCTAAAAACCTCTATCCTTCTTGGAGAGCCTGGCAAGCTACTGAGAGTATCCCGCTGGCATGGCAGAGCCTGGCAAGCTATCAGTGGCGTATTTGATATTCGATATGCTCTTTGTTATAAAGGATAAAATCCTCTTTGGATTTCTTTTGGTTACTTAAAATGTGCTCTCAGGTAGTTAGATATTTGTGTGTGTGTGTGCTGACTCATACCTGGCAGTGCTCAGGAGCTACTGTGTGTTGACTCAAACCTGGCAGTGCTCTGGAGCTTCCAGCAGTGCTCAAGGGACAATACGAAGCTGGGATTAAACAGGAGTCAGCTGGATGCCAGGAAAATGCCTAAAATCCTGTATTGTTTCTAAAAACTAAAGGTTTTAAGAATAATGGTTCAAGTAAAATACAATTTTTAAATAAAGTGACCCACTATTTCATTATGGGGGATCCAGTATTATCAAAAGTCCACACTAAAGGTGGGAAATATGAAACTAGGAAAAGTGACAAAAACTAGTGCAAGTCAGCTCTGCCATACATGTATAATACATGAACTCATATAAGCTACTAAGTGTCTGTGAGAAATAGGTAAATATGTCAGATGTCAGATTTTGGAAAGTTTTCTTTTTTTCTTTTTCTTTTTTTTGCTTTTTGGGTCACACCTGGCGATGCTCAGGGGTTACTCCTGGCTCTGCACTCAGGAATTATTCCTGGCGGTGCTCGGGGGACCTATGGGATGCTGCGAATCAAACCCGGGTCAGCCATGTTGATTCCTCTTTGGGAGACCCGAATAGTGCTCTCATCCTGTTTTTGTAGGGCCTGCTGTGCTATCGCTCCAGCCCCGAAAGTTTTCTTTTTCTTTCCAGTACTTCTAGGTAGAATTAGTCCATGGGAAGTGCTTGGGTTCATTTGAGAGATAGTGTGGAGGTCCCTCTTCTGCAGTGACTCTCTTCCAGCTGTAAATTCTTACAAGCACA